CGCATTGAAATGTTCCTATGCACTTTACAACACTTTGCAAAGCACTGTGGTCAGACTGCATTGAACACTGAGCAGTTTACAATTTTTTGAAAGGAAAGTTTTCAGGTACCCTTAATTTAGAAATTTTCGCAGACTGTTATGATGCATGATGAGTGGAAGGTTACCTAATATAATGCACGAGAGGGTTATTTGGGTATCCTGTGGGGGAAGAGGTACCCATGCACGGATTGCAAATTTACGTTATAAAGTAAATGCTGTTATGCAGGCTTGGACCAACAGAACATGTTGTGGACTTACTTTCCGTTATGCTTCGCTCGCTCTCAATTGATTTGGTTATCTTGCAATAGCTTTCGTTAGCTTAAACATTTAGACAAAACCAGTACAACTTCATTCACATAATGGAACATTTTTGGGTCAGTTCCTAAAAATAGTCTCAGCCCGGTTTTTGAACACTTGTTCAAGAATGGGTCATTTCCATGGAAAAAAAAAGACCTTTCTTGCCATGTGCCACGACTTGCCCTTCTAATCACACAAAGTTGACAGAGGAAGCCCCGCCGGAGTTATTGACACATTTTCCTGAATTACCATCAATGAAATATTGCAATTTATCACCTATTATTTCGTTACAATTGAAAATGAGTCAGCTCAAGTGCCCAGAGGAGCATGTTTTGAACTTGCGCCAACCTCTTTTTTGATATACTTTTGAACGTTAGCCAGCGCTTATCTCCACAAAACTTGTTAGTGAGATAACTGTGTGCCAAACAAAGGATCCTTCATTAGGTTTCTAAGCATGTTGATTTCGCGCAACGCGAAGCTCATTTTTTAAGGAAGATCTTTTGCCTCAGTGGTAATGCCCGTTGGTTTTTTTTTTTAAATGGCAAGAATTGATTCCATAATTACTACCTTTCATCAGTGCATTTGTGTGGGCATAATTTATCTTTGTGTTACTTTCCTGTTCTATGGCCAAAAAAAAGAGAGAGATGCAAAAAATTGGTCGAATAGCTCAAGTCTGCGGTTAATAACCTTTGCGGTGCCGGTAAATGATATCAATTGACACTTTTACACAATGAAGATATGTGTTTACTTCACTCCTCAATATAAAGACGTGTTTTTTTGTATTACAGGCCGTTGCAACGAGAACTCAGGCTTTAGAAATGTTCTTTTTCAAGTGTCTTGTAGCCCTCTCATGCTTTTTGAGAGATCAATTCATTTGAAAGCCTGGTCATTTCGTCTGATTGCAACAAGAAGTTTCTTGTTTTTTAATCTTATGACAAATCTGTTCCTCTCTTTTGTTCAAACCCAAAGTCGATGATTGTATGAATTTGACCTAGCGGGAAGTTGATTACTCTTTTCAATAAACTGATCATTAAAATGTACATCAAATGGAGCAGCATGTACTGATTGCTTAAGCCTTACGAGAAATACAATGTAAACGTCTAGGCTTCTTGTACACGCGTGGTTTGCCGGAAAAGAGGTTTGCAGGGTGTCTTAAATACTATTTGCGCATTGTAGTCGTGCTCTATTCAGGTGCGCCTAATTACATGCTAATAGCTCCATGTAACTCGCTTTGTGCTGCCGCGTTAAGTACGTTGGCAAAGTTGTTTCCTCTCTGCCAAAGAGTATATGCAATTTGATACCGGTCCAGCTAAAGCTTATGACCACAAGGTGATCTTTTAACTCTTACTTCAACCACGTTCCGATATATTTTTTTCATCGATCGACAAAAACCTTGCTTGGTGCCCCTTTCATAATTTCTTTTCTTCTATTGCAAAGCTAAATGTTTTGCAGATTTTGAACAGTAAGTAACATCCACGCAATGCAGAGTGTTACATAAAACCTTCCTTATACATCTCAAGACCCGCCTTGAAGTTGCCTCTAGAGCAAAGTCCTTTTGGAAATTTTGTTTGATCGTGTCCACGCAAGATTTACTGAGTGACGTATTTGGTCTTCACGGATTAATCCGCAATCTGTTGGGATTATAAGACAACATGCAGGAGTATTTAATGTTGACTTACAACAAGCGCTGGGATTTAAGCTTAATTAGGCTCGAAAGCCCTAAAACTAATATCCAGTGTGTTTATTTGGAGAAAGAAATTAGGTAACGTGTTTAGTTCAAGAATCCGTCGTCAAGATCAAATTGAAAGCAATGAGATATTGGCAAGCGCCAGGTAGACTGCTTGCTTTAAACCGCATTGTTACCGGCATGTTGTTCATTAATTTCAATTAATGTATGTAAGATGTTTATCGACGTGGTGTTAGTGAACGCGCTTTCTGTTTGTTTCGGCTTGTGTTAGATTATTTTTGTCGCAGAAAATTTTTGTCATCTTTCATCTATTGTGAGAGAAGATCAAACGATTTGGGTGCGACTTTGTTAAATCAAGTTGACGTTTCCCAATCTTGGGTAATTTTTCTTACTTACCAGGCTTGGAACGTTTACTCTAAGATCAACGCAGGTTGCTGATCAAGTTTTATTCTGTTTTTATTAAAGCCAACTTTAGCCATCGAGTTAACTGCCGCATGTATGTAACTGCTTCAAAATATCAGGCTCAGTATCTGTGTTGTTGAAGGCCTGCAATATGAGAAGCTCTGACTTCAAAAACGTAAGCTACATTTGTACGGTGATGTTGTCGTTTCGTTTTGAATACGTTTTATTTTGACAAATTCAAGAAAGGAATTTTTACATAATTCGATAACCAATTTAACAATCACGTTGTAGAATGTGATACCGGAATCCCGCAAATACAACTACTGTTTCTGAAATATTCGGATCACGATAGTAATCGACCCAGTCTCTTGATGCCAGTATTACGGTAGTAATGGACCCAGTCTCTTGATGCCATTCAGTATTAAAGTTACACTGAAATAAAATCTTATTTCGTATATATCCATCTCTTATCATTTTAGATTGTTTACCCTTCTTTTTTCCTTTCGTTCCTTCATGATTTTATTTAGGTTTTCGTCAGTGGCAAGACCATTGTCAGCTATTGATTCACGGGCTTCCCATCCTATGTAACTTTCCTCCCCTTTAGCAGCCTTGAATGAAGAAATATATTAAATTGTTATGGGCCACTAAGAGAAATCGGGTTGGAATCATTTTGCGAGTGCTACGTAACCTACTTGTCTACGGTAGAAACCTTTTCGTCTCAAGGGTTTAACTTAGAATTTGAAAATAGTGGACACTCTCTGATAATATAGCAAAGAAAGTATATCCGAATTCCAAAGGGGGAGTTGAGGAATGACACCAAGTACACCATGAAAACTAGGGTTAAATTCAAATGAGTTGTCAAAGCTTTAAACCCGGTGATAACGATTGTATAGTTTGATCTACCGAGTGAGGTTAACCCTTTACACCCTAACATTACTATGCATATCTCCATACTATTCTCTTTACATTTCCCAATGTGTTGACGAAGAGAATAGCTCTTTTCGCGGTTAATTGCCCGCTGAAGTTAGTATCGCGGGCAGGCGCGAAAGCGAGGCAATTTCGGGTTAATACCGTTAAAAGCACGAAGAAAAAACGTGCAAGTCAAATAGCAAAAATCATTTGTGGTTATTTTACGGTCGGTTTATTTCATTTCTCATGTAAAACAATTTCGTCTGTAAAGACGTGGAAGTATTGCTCCGTGTTTGGCTCTGACAACAGCGAAAGGAAAAATCGCGTGCGTGCAAGGCTGCAAAAAGTCTCATTCAAAGGAAAAGTGTACCCACGAGAGGAAATACCCCGAATTACAAAATATTTTGTTCTTCCCCTTCCTAAAAGATGCAGAATTACAGAGGAAGTGGTTTAACTTTTTAAGGAGGGAAGACATCAAAAGCGTAAGGCAAATTACATCGAATCACATGATTTGTTCAATTCATTCTAAAGGAGGAGTGGGATATCGTAGGGCAGATCCAGTTCCAACCATGTATAATGATCGTGCGATGGCGCTTCGCTTCAACATGACTACAACAAGGCGTAAAGCGCTTCGTAAAGTTTATAGCCCTGTGAGCCTTTGTAAGCTTTTTATCTATCGTGATCATAGCCACCCTTCATAATCATGTGGTTGTTTAGATCTGCGTAGGTAAACGTTAGAGCATTTAAAGAATCCTACGACTATCCCTGTTTGATCGATGATACTAGTGGCGGACGGCCTTAATCTGGCGTATCGTGTTTAGATAGAATAGGCTCTGACGTATCCTCTCTATCCACAGAAATTTCTTGCAGGCGTAATTTCCAGGCTTGGAATGCGAGATTTGAGAGTTGTTCTTTGTTGTGCGCTTTGCCCAGATCACTTGTTTGGACGCCGTGTAGTGCTAAATCTTTTCTTAAAACAACTCCTTTCTGTCAGCTAAAGTAATTCCTATCGATTTCCTCGAACGATTTTTCTTCGAGATTCCGCATAAATGCGCCAAAGCCATCGTTAGAGGCCAAATCAGAAGTCTGTACAGAAGAACATGAGGCCGCTATTTCTTTCTGGCCCTAATTTGCGTCGACTTTGTGTTGGTCTACAGTATTGTATTTAGCGGTGTAGCGAACCGCGAAAAGAGCCATTTGTTTGACAATCAAGACCTTTAATTGGTCATAGTTTTCTTTACTCTCGTGACCTTAATGTGTGATTCGGGCGTGAGTTCTAAGGAGAAATTAAATGCTTGTCACTTTCAGTGGTCAAAGGGCTAAGTATGAAAGAGGACTGATGCTTGCAATAATGAGTCTGACAACAGTTGCACAACCACAAACGCTAAGAATTATAGTAGTGTCAAATAAGTACCTACTATTCCTTCTCCGTCTGTTGCAGACGGCATATTGTGAAATAGACATTAGATTTGACAATCGCTTTCAAAAACCATGGATTGGTCGCTGGCCTAGTTCACTGGATTTTATCAATTTTAAATACAAATGAAAAGTTAATTTGGTAGTACTGGCTGTATGATCACCAGACTAAACAAGCTTCCGCCAAGAATCCTTTGCAGCTGCAAACTGTAGATATAAAATTTAATTAACCTTGTTTTTTTTTAATCAGGTTTCTAAATTTTCAAACTAGTGAACTGCATCCAAGCTTGGGTTTAGAGACAAAGGGATGAAGTGCATGGTATCTCAGGTAAGATTTATTTTCAGTGTTTAATTTTCACTCAAGCGTACTTCTTTGGTTCCTTATGTGATACAGCTTTTTAAGTAACCTTATTTTTATACATAAATATATTTATAAATTGGAAGTCTGTGTATTGATTCTTCCGTTTTACAGTGCTCGATACGTAGAAGTAGAGCGCGATATATGTTGCGATAGGGGAAAAAAACAGAAAGACTCAAGGTATACTCTTCAAAGTATAGTCTCTCTGTTTTTTTCCCCTATCGCAACATATATATATATATATATATATATATATATATATATATATATATGAATTGATGACTGAATGAAAGCATAAATGAATGAAAACTTCATTTAGCCATGGTATCCATCATTACTAAGGAGTGCTCTCTTAGGGAGCCGTGTAATACAACTGTGATTTAAGTAGCACTATGATTACCTAAAGAGTTCATTTGTCTAACAAACTATCATTAACATATCTTACAGTGAATCGTATTCTAAACTTTATTGCATACAAATTATTTTAACTAGTGGCCTGCTTAGCACAGTTTTTGACGGAATGTATACAAAACTTTTTTTGCATGAATGCGTGTTTATTATTTCATATCTGCAGTTGTTGTTAAATTTCTCATTTTAATTTATTAAGGGGGGTGAATAGGAAAACGGATCCGCGAAATCCCACAGTAGATTTGCCCGGATTTTGGATTTATGGCGAACTTTTAACAGATTCGCTGATCCTGTAGCGGTTTCCGGTTTTCATCGATTTTGGGCCCTGATTTTGGATTTTACTTATGACGAAGTTCGGATCGTGGATCTCAGCGTCAGAAATGAAACAGTTTTTTTTTCTGGTTTTGTTTGGATGTGCGTTACTGTAGTATTTTTTTTGTCACGGACAACACTCACCGAATGTCACACAATCGGGAAATAGTAACGCGCTATGGTTAGGAACCTGTGACATGCTGCCAGCGGGACGTGTTGTCTTCGGGTTCTTGACAGTTTGGGTTGTATTACAATCATATTACTGAGTCGTACGTGGTACCTTTTTTTTTTCCCTAAGAAATTAATACTAAACCAGTGAGCAGAACTCTGCGAACAGTTGTTGTAAAACTTGTTTTATTCTCCGACGCGTTTCGTTTAACTGTCGAAGACTTCAGTCTTCAGGGAGTTTTACAAGTAAAAACTCAACGCCTCTATTTAGCAAACAGCTGTTTGCGAAGTGCTGCTCTCTAGTTTAGTGTTAAAAAGGTTACGAAATATTAAGGTACGTTTATTTTTACAAATCCCCGTGTCACGTAGCAAACGGATTCGGGTTTAACACTTTTTTTAAACGGATCGATAACAGCCTATCTGTGGATTTGCATACCCTTATTCACCCCCCCTCCCCCTCTTTATTTGTAGCTGTGTATTTTTTAGGGGTATATACTTAATAATATGACTAATTGTATAGAATTCTGCTGTTAGTTGATAAACCTGGTCAAACGATGTTAAGTTTGATATAGTTGCCCTATCCATAAATTCAAACAGTCTTGGTATTATTGATGCGTTTATTGCAAAATAAATAAATAAATAAATGAATGACATCAAATTTAGCTTCAATAACGTGTACGCCTAAAATACAAACAGATAAAATGACAAAGAACTACCCGTTCAAAATTTTTTATGTGAAGAAGGGAAAATAGAAAGTATCTATATTTTTACTCGTTTCTATCGATGAAAGCTTAAAAAAAGACGTAGCTGAAGAAGTCTAATGAACAGTCTTGAAACAACATTTTCAGAATACCACAGCAGATTATATATGCGACGACATTATCCAGTTCCATGCAGTTCTAGTTCCAGTGTGTTCCTCCAAGAAGCTATCTTGTTGCTCCGGAGTAGCATTGTTGAATTGTCGTTCAATCAATGCCTCGAAACTAGCTTTCACTCATGTTCTTCTTTTCGCTTGTTCAATGTTCAATAGAGACTTTCAGAAACTTTGAGATGTTAATCCAGTGGCCCCTTTGGTGTGGCCGCTTTGATTCCCCATTGAAAAAGCATCTTTTTTTGTCATTACAGTATTGGGACAACGACAGACATGGGCTGGAGATTCTGTCAGTGTTAAGTTCTTGCCATCAGACATTTGCCCTAGCGATTTGCCAGCGTTTTTTGGTACTTCACTCCCTCAGAAGCTTTAACAGAATTAAAAGAAACAATTACAACAGGAAATGTTTTTCTTTTAAGCAGTACAAGAGAAGGCTTTACTGTGATCTCACTCGCAAATTCAGCTGGAATTCAGCTGTGTACATTCTATCGCAGCTTGTCATCCTACTACGTTTGTTTGCTTTGATTCTGGTACGTGTTGTCAACGAAATACTTGCATCTGGTGGCATCCAAACAGCTTTTGTTTTGACCAAGGTCCGCCATCAGAAGATTCGCCTTCATATGTATTCAAGAGAAATCTCAATGAAAGTTTTTCGGTATACATAAATAGTTGCTGAATGCTTTGGACGGACCTCTGTCGTTTGATCTAAATCTTTGGCTTTTATCTAAAACAAAATCTGCGTCAAAATTTGCGGTGGACTTTGAAACATCGGATTTAAATGAGGGAAGAAGCACATCAAAAGGAAGCAACTTCTAATTTAAACAGGACAAAATGGTGAATAATGGAAATTGATAGGGATTAAAAACGACATAGTTTGATGAATTTGCTCTTATTAGTTAACATGCGCAAAAAAGACTGTCTTTTAGGAATTGCTCTTTTAACCCTTTACTTCCTAGATCTGATTTTTAAATTCTCCCCACAAGCTGCGACACATTTTTTTTCTAATTAAGCGCGAGAATTTGGTGCTTGATCAAGACAGGAGAGATCAAGATAACAAATTCTACCTGATAAGTTTGAGTACTCTCATTGCCTGTTTGCTGGGTAATATGTGGATATCACAAAGATAAATTACATGTTCTTACTTCATGGAGTTGAAGGGTTAAAATGTTTATGTGTGGGAGTAGAAAGGGTGTCATAACAGCTGACGTTCACCCGAAGGTGTTCGACTTGTCATTTACTCAGTTGATGCCGGTCCAGGTTTACTATCAATGTCATTGTTTCTTTTCCTTTCTACCTGTCACTGCCCCAAATCGCAATAAGTTTTTTAGAATCTCCGAGAGAATAGTTTACATTAGTAAGTGGAAAATATTCCTGTGCCTCTTACGAAGCCACCGTCAGCAGAAACAAAAAATAGTTCTAACACTTTGAATTACGACGAACTCATTCTATCTATAGATGGCTTGTAGTAGCTGTTGAACACACATCAGCATATTACACACATATGTGATGAATCTAGGCTCATTTGGTTACCCATGTCTTTTAATGCTGCGGCTCTAAGCCACTCTTCATTCTCTTTTTGGATATAAGGTACTCTATTGTTACCCTTATGTTACTATGTATGTTCTAGGTTTTCCTTGAATAACCCAGTATCTCTCCATTGATCACTTTTTGTTTTGTTAAATTTAATTTATTTCATCGTTTTACAAATTTGGGAACGAATTTCCAAGATAAATACTCCTTAGAACCTATTTTGCCACTGTCATGTAAATTTGCCTGCAGTTACTTCAACAATATTCCTTCAATTCACCGATAGTGCAACCCTCTCTACAACACTCCTCAACAATATTAACAGTTCTAACTGGACGTGCTTTTCGTAGACTTCCATTGCTTTCAGAATGTATAAAACTTAGTGCCTCCTTTTCTTCCATCAAAGGCGATCCTGAAAATGCAACAAATTAGGCGATCATGTTTAGTGATTGAGAATTTCAGGCCACAAAAGAAACAATAAGATTCTCTTACTACGTTTCCTCTTTCCAACAGATTCGTCAATACACACTTTTGTGTAGACTTCTGTGATATGATCGCCACAGATATGGGCATCAATTCGACTAGATCCAACTTCATACGCCTTGACAAGTCTAGACCCTATCAAGACAAAATTGTTGTATGAATTGGAATTAAGCGCTTTTCAATCGAGTGTTGTAAATCCAAAATCGTGTCATCACTCAGGCGAATTATATAATGGTGAAAAAGGTGATCAATAACGAAGGAGGATGGAAAAAAGAACAAATAATTTCTCACACTCCAACTTTGTTACCTGTAACAGCCTCAAGACTTAAAACAATAGCCAGGAATGGCACAATGGTCCAAAGTAACGATTCCTTCATCTGAAAGAAGAACCGAAAGCACAACATTTCCTTTCAGTTCTTGTATGTTCACAGGTGGTCTTAGTCTCAGTCCTCATTTTATTTAAAACTCGTTGGTCTCTACACTATTTTTCCTCCCTTAACCCCCTCCCCCACCCGAACTTAATCATAAAAACTGTTGCAGTATAAGCTGACTTACCTTGATGATAAAACTTTGTCGGTTTTCCTTTTATAGAAGTAACCTCATTATCTTGTTTGATTCAACCTTCACTTTGTTTGATTCCACGACAAACTTAAGTTCAGTCACCGTGATTTTTCGGGTGTCTTAGATTTTTTCTCTTACCTCTGACTGTTATGATCAGCACTGATTAGGGTGTTTTTAATTATCGTGCGTCTGAAACTTATATGACGAGTGATTGTGAATAAATGAGAGGGGAGTCAAAATAAATCCCATGTTTTTCAATCTGATTATTTCAGGGCGGGCGTCCGCAGAAGTACAGGCGATGTTTTCCATTTCTATTGTTTACCTATTAGCGTACGTGTAGCCGTACCCGTAGGTTTGCGTAGGCGTTCCCTCGCTTCCGTTTCACCTGGGGGGGGGGGAGGGTAAGGCTACACGTAGGCTATTTACCTATTTAAATGTTCCGTTGTCCATTTAGAATTCTTTTGTTTACTACTCTTCGGCTGAAATACCATGAAAGGCCACGGAAAGGAGGATATGAGGCTAACAGACCTCTTCTTTTTTCTGTCAAAAACCGTGGAATTTGAAAACTAAAAAGTTACAGCGAACGGCAAGTATCTGGTTTTGAAAGCTTTCAAACCGAAACCAGATTCTGTATGAAACAATCATTCAAGCAGCAACCGGTGTGATAAACACCATAATATTAATTTTTGTCTTCACTAAAATTGAATAGTTTTTAAATTTCAAAATTAATTTCGGATGCAAATTTTTATTATTTGAAAAGATATTAAGAAGCTTCAAGATTAAAACCTAATTTAAACATTGAGGTTAAAGGAATAAGACCTGCAGCTGGGAAAATAACAGAGGAAGGTATTGATTGTTTTCATATCACCGATGCCGCAAATTTCATTGCAAATCTTTGTAACCGCTAATTTGTGATGTTAAGCTTCATGAGAGGAGTTTTTAAAACCTTGAGGTACTCGTTAACAAGTATTTGTTATAACAGCTCGAGTGTAACTAAAGAAAGATGACATGGATATGTCTTCCGCAGTATTTCCCGTTCCTTAAGTCAATATGCTTTATTATTTAAAAAATAGTTTGCGGAGTTGTTATTCCTTTTTTTTACCAAAGGCCTTATTATGATACTCTTCACGTGTTGGTGCTTCTAACTAGCAACTGAATTATAGCGATGCAATCTGGTGTGATGTTAAAGGAAATGTGACTGGTACAAGGAATTGTAACAATTTATTCACTTTTTCGTTTGCCTTTACCTTTTGTCTACTCCTGAGATGATACTACTTTCGAAGTTACGAATAAGATAAAATTACCATTTTGAAAATCAACAATGCTGGTTTCGAATAATGTGTCCTAAACGTTATGGAAATAATCAATACTAGATCCTTCTAATAAGGCTAGATTTAATCAACGCTCACTGACAGAAATATAAGTTATTTACTTGAGACATGTCCTGTCGCTGAGGCATTTAGCTGGTGAGGTTAACTAGGGAACTGAATACGTATCTTTAAATTTTTAGAGTTTGTATGGTTTTTGGTCGATCATAACATACACTGCACCTCTCTGCCTTGGAGGAAAAGTGCAACAGATTCTGCTTGACCAAATCATTTCGAAGTACTAATCGGAAGGTCGTACTGGGTCGACCCCTATTGGAGGTACTCAGAGTTCTTTTTCTCCGAGTATGCCAGTGTCATTAATTGAATAACATCATTCAATTCAGCTCTCGCACTTAATTTCAACTCGTTACAGCGCATCTTACTCACCATATGTTGTATTCTCGGTATTGGTGGCGCTGGGCCTCCCAAAAAGCAGTTTAACTTGGTGCGTCAAAACAAGCTTCTCTTTTTACTCCCGGGTAGATATAAAGAAATTTGTTTTGGCCGTGTCGAGTTTTATTCAAGTTTAATTGGATAACACCTGTCTGAGAAAAAAAAAAGGTCTTATTATGTTTAAACTAATTTCCCCAAACGGCTTTTGTTCGTTAAATTCGCTTCCGTTGCGCACCATTGTGCTGCTATTTTTCGTCTGTCAACACAGATAGCAAATTCTTTGAGGCCATTCGCGCTCCAGCGGGCGGAATACTTTACGAAAGCTTTTCTATTTGATCAGCTGCATTGTACAAAATGCGAAAATGCGAATCAAATGGTGAAAATAAACACTTAACAAGTAAAATAAATGTATCAAGAGGGGAAAATAGCGAAGAAAAACAGACCAACCGCCGACAGTTTTTCATTTTTTACGTTGAGAAATAACATGATATCGTCTTGTTTATCGTCTATTCTTCCTCCAGAGTGCTCAAAAAAATGCAGACGGACGGATGAATTCAGTGATCTCTAGATAAAAAAGCCTGATATTCCTCCCGTAAAAATTGGTTTGTAAAATGTCTTGGTAACTTTTTGACTTCCTTTGAAGGGAAGTCGAACAGCTACCAAGGAAAAAACAGTTCAATCCACGCCTTTGTAAAGTAAATACTTGTATAACTGAACAAAAACGCTGTCGTGTATACTGTCTACACGACAGCGTTTTTTAATCAGTTACTCAATGTAACTGACGCCAACCATATCCGCCCAATATTTTATTTTTAACTGTTTTGAATAAAAAACAAAACTACACAAGAAACAAGACTTCTAACGCCACTAGACTCCCTCGTTTTGGAAAGATCTGTTTTTAAATTTATTTATAAAACGGAATTTGGGGACGTTCTTGATCTACGAATACTGTTAAGAGCAATTATTAAAGAATAAGAACGCTTATTAAAGATTTAAGAATTTTATGTGAATGAAGGTTGGAATTTTCCATACTACCGAAATAATGAAACAACGCTTTTTGTCGAGTATCGGTGAATTGAATAGCTAAATTGTCTGTATTCCGTTAAGATTCTTAAGTAGCATTTTTGTTTTGTTTATTTCCTTGTTTCTTTTTTTTTCTACCACTCTACAAAACCTCTGTTCGCGAGTCGGGTCTATTTTTGTAAAATTTTCGGGGAAAATAGGGCCACACTGGAATCGACCTACAAGTAATGTTTTCTTTTTGTCCATCAATGCCGATTGTGTAAGCCAAGCGATAGACTTTCAGAGAAAGTCAAACAGCTGGTGTGCCCCTCTTTCTGGAACACGTGGGAGCTATGAGGCTTTAGGAACAGTGTAAATACAATCATGGACAGACATGTTGAGATACTTTGAGCGAAAATTCACCCTTCTGCGAGTAATGTGTTCTTTTCCCTTTGCGGTTTTCCCTCTTTCCCTCTCCCTTACACACACGCGCACAAGCACAGTCACTCACCTTTACAGTGTCGATTTAACCTCTCTGATAATTGCCTTCGCTGTTAACATTGACTAGGGGGAGGGGAAGGAGACCAGTTACCTTTTAAGTAGCGCACATGTAAAAAATGCGAGCGTAGTTTTTAGCATTTGCTTTGAAGGTGTCCTAAAGTCTTTTAGTAGTATTTCAGTTGTGATAGTGATTGGGCCCAGCTGTTGGGAGTCATTACTATACTCGTGATGCTTACCTGACACAGCTGTGTATATTATTCGCATATAGTTACCACGGGATAAGAAATATTCTGTTTTCAGAAAAACCCGGTACTTATATTCGGGTATCAAGGAATAGTTTCTTAGTGACGTCCATTGTTTTGGCTTATACAGCTAACGAAAAACGGAAATATTTCTGAAAACCTACTGCCTTTCATCTCCCTAGTGCCGCAGGTAGCGTCCTGAATATTAAGTCTAAATATTTGATTCTCCCAAGAAGAGGCAAATGAATGAGGAGTCTGGCTAAAGGGGCATTATACAGTAAGTGAACCTGTTCAGCCAAATTGTGAAAAGGAGAGATTTCAAAAAAACCCTGCCTGATAGGGTCTCTAATGAAGGTTGGGTGGAAAATTTAATCAAATTTTTTTGAGAGTGAGAAAGGAAAAAGGGTTGTCAACAGTGTGTGGCAGTCTTATGGCAACCTTACCTTAAGTGTAAACAACTGCGTAGCAAAGTGAATAAAAGTAGCTCCTCATTTATAATTGCCCTTCATAAAAGAATAATAATAATAAAAAAGAACGCATTTGAAAACTTCTATCAAAAAAAATTAATTTATGACGAGTTTACTTATTTGGCATGACCCAGTATGCTGGCATCATTTGGAACCTAAGGTTGGAAATAGAACATCCATCAATTATTGTCAACTTTTGCTAACATAACAGTGCCCTTTTGTCATAGATATAGTCAAATTTTATCTCTCAGTAGTAAGAAGTATGCTGATGTAAATTTAGTTGAAGGGCAATTAAGAGGTTTTTTGGAGTTAGCGTGTTCAGGAACCCATGACTCCTGAAGTTTTTCTATAGGGTACCACTTTCTCTATTTGGGGGAGGGAGCCAGGAACGGATTTGTCTCATTTATATTTGGCCTAGTTTATTTGTGCATTTTGTAATGACATATTTTTGCGTGGCAAGTTTATAGGGAAAGTGACATGACAAATATCATGGCAGTGGCTACAGACGAGCAGACAGTTTGAAACAGCATATGACAATACCTTTTTGGAGGAAAGCACTTATGATATTTCAAATAGCGCAAGATTTCGATTTTATGTTACTCTGAATGGTGCACCTTTTTAAGACGCTCGATAGATAGATTTATCTTGGTGTGAAGTCAAATAAGTAGGGATCAGACCCACTGTCGTTCTTGATCTCCATGCACTGTAGAGCAATTCAATTATACTTTAAGCCTAAGTTTATCTTTTCTTGCAGATAGAGAGTTTATCTGAGCTGGCTTCTGACAAGGGTTTGCTCTTTTTTATCTCTGTCGACAAAAGGGAAACAAAAATTTTGTTACTATCAACAAAAACCTGCATAGTATTCGATCAAGAGCGTGGCGAATCACTTTGCCCTTTATTGAAAAGGAAAAAAAGGAGATACTGTAAACACCTGTTCTGTGCGGAAATTTAAAACGCCAAAAGATACAATGATATGTTTTCCTGATGTTTACTTGGTATTATTGCCCAAAGTGAAACGATTTCACAAAGGTAGGGCGTGTGCGTTTGTCGGATATCTCGAGAGCAATCGTTGCCGATACCCTTAACAATTTTAATTTCTTTGTTTCTCGTGCCTATTTTCCAAACAATCAAAGAAACAACCAATTACAATTTAAGTCCAGGATAGAGGGATTTTCCCTCTAAACAAAAGTATATTTTGATGTAAATTGAAACAATTCAAAGAGCAATTTTCACTTAATAACCTAACTTTTATGATCTCGTAATCTTAGTCAGTTTACAAATCTAATCTTTGGTTTATCGTCATTTCACGCCTAAACGACGACTTAACTGTACAAATACATCTTAATATATAACATACAACCGATCCACAACATATAAACTGGAAATTTCAATGTAAAAGTGATTGCTGGCGAAGGCTTGCCAGCAATAAGTTGGATTTATTTTGAATAGTCAGTCAAGTTAGGTATTGTCAGCAATGTTCGAAGATTTCTTCCAAGTTGCATCCCTCAGCGCAGCACTCCTGCACAATATTTGCACTGCGGGCGCTTCTTGCAGGGCTTCTGGTATGTCTTGAGGACCGTTTGAAGTGTAAAGCGTGGTTTTCGTCCATTCCTGCTAATCCTAACGACATCAGGAAAACGACAGTTAGCTAAACGGCAAAAGTCAAGCAAGATTAACATCTACTTGGCTCTTTTAAAATAAATTTATAAAATGATTCAAATAGTACGCGCGCTCCGATTTGGCCATAAAACCATTTTACATGAGCGTATGTAAACATGGTTTTCGTTCCTCTTTCATTAGTTATTTTATAAAAGAAATGTAAAATGGTTTCCGTGTTTACATAGCCTGATGTAAACACTTGGGAGGTTGGGAGAACACTCGATAAGCTGGAAACCACTCCGCTACGCGTCATTATAAGTGATGTATCAATTTTTATTATAACTGCGCCTACCGAATCCGACGACGCGGAAGAATTGCTGATTAGCAACCTTCAAATGTTGTTTTAAAACTACTCCTGTTAAATCTGCTAGTGTTCTATCACTTGTGCTGAAATGTGCGCCTCTCTCTATCTATTTTGTGATAGATGGTGAGTAATGTGAGTAGCCTGACAGTTTGCGGTTGTTAACAAAATAATAATTAAAAAAATGTAATAGAGATGTAAGCCCTAAGCCATCACGCGAGAGATATCTCAAGCTCATGATCTAATTTTTAATTAGAAAAAAAAGTCGATATCCACTTACAGTGTCTCGTTTGCGGTTGACAGATCATGCCTCTTACAATAATGATATGCTTTCCAAACTATTTAGAATATTGGGCGACGTCCTTTCTCATATGCTTTAAATCCGTAGATTTCAAAGACTCCTGTCAACTTGCATCCCTCATTACAGCACTCCTCCACAGATTTCTACTGGTGTCTTCCGTAAAATTGGGACTGAAGGAAGCTTAAAGCTTCGTTTCTGTCCATTATTGGTGATCCTAACGACATCAGAAATATGAGAGTTGGCTAAACGGATAAACTCTTGCGCAATAAAGATTAGCCGTTTTTAGTGATTAGCAATTAGCTTCATGCAGCCTAAAATCGCCCAAATACTTAGACGCTATCAAAACACAATTTTTTTTATGAATTGGAACTGAGAGCTCAGTTCTGGCGAATTACATTTTACAATGGCGGAAAGGTGATCAGTAACGAAAGAAGGATGGAAGAAAGGCGCTGATAGTATCTCGTTACTTGTACAGTCAGCTGTAACAGCTTAAAGACTTAAAACAAAAGCCAGGAGAGGCACAGTGATCCAAAGAAAGAAATCCTCCATCTGAAAGAAGAACAGAAAGCACATTTCTTTTCCTTTTATTTGCTTTCACTCCAAGTA